AGGGTTTGCCACTACCATGCATTTCTGGCAATTTCCTAGGAAGGGTTTGCCACTACCATGGGTTCCATTCCCCAGGAAGGGTTTGCCACTGCCATGGATTCTTGACTATTCCCAGGGAAGAGTTTGCTACTACCATGCATTCCTGGCATTTCCCCCAGGAAGGGTTTGCTACTACCATGTATTTCTGCAATAACCCGGGAAGTGTTTGTCACTACCATGGGTTCCTGCCAATTCCCCAGGAAGGGTTAACCACTACCAAGGGTTCCTGGCAATTCCCCAGGAAGGGTTAACCACTACCATGGGTTCCCAGAAATTCCCCAGGAAGGGTTAACCACTACCATGGGTTCCTGGCAATTACCCAGGAAGAGGTAACCACTACCATGGGTTCCTGCCAATTCCCCAGGAAGGGTTAACCACTACCATGGGTTCCTGGCAATTCCCCAGGAAGGGTTAACCACTACCATGGGTTCCCAGAAATTCCCCAGGAAGGGTTAACCACTACCATGGGTTCCTGGCAATTACCCAGGAAGAGGTAACCACTACCATGGGTTCCTGCCAATTCCCCAGGAAGGGTTAACCACTACCATGGGTTCCTGGCAATTCCCCAGGAAGGGTTAACCACTACCATGGGTTCCAGAAATTCCCCAGGAAGGGTTTGTTACTACCCTGTGTTTCTGAAATAGCCCAGGACGAGTTAACCACAACCATGTGTTCCTGGAAATTCCCCAGGAAGGGTTAACCACTACCATGGGTTCCTGGAAATTCCCCAGAAAGGGTTAGCCACCACCATGGATTCCTGGCAATTTCCTTTGAAATTTGCAAAAAACATGCCATGCTTGCTGTGACATTCAATGTTAATGATACCCCAAATGTGGCAAACAGGTACACATATTTGCATTCCTCAAAAACATGTTAAGAAAAACCACGAATCCTGATGCCCAAAAATCTGCATGAGCTACTTTGACGTGTGTAGGACAGCCCATTGCAATGAATGGGCTGACCTATGCATGTAACGTGAAATCTTGCACAAAGAACGCACGCAAAAACTCAGATTTGTGAAACGGTAAATGTGAATCTAGCCTTAGGACTTTAATTACTGAAGAATGATCTGAACACAGATCTGCAGGCAGTAAGGAGGCATTATATTGCCTCCTCACCACTGTTTTAACCCCTTGAACCACGTGCATTGCCGCACTGGGCACTTACAGTGCGGCACCTTCACCGGAATGGGTTACACTCAGTAGGCACTGTGCCTGTCGAAAGTGGCAGGTGGTATAATTCCTACAGCCACAGCATGTGTACCTCCCCAGCTAAAGGGAGTAGAGATTGAGGAATAGTAAAAGCATGGCTCAACTGTGGTGATTTACTACCCCTCAAGCACTAGTGTGAATGAGCGCTTACACACACATACTTATGGCTCCCATATTCACGTTCTCAGTGCTCATTACATTCACGGTAAATGCCCAGCTGACAATCCCATTTTCATTTTCTATTTTACCATCTCAAGATAAAGATTTGCGCGGCGACCCCTTTAAATCTCCAGCGGCACGCCATTGAAATGCAGCAGCGGTGTGACTTGCCAGATGACTTTGCAGCATCTTTAAGTAATGTGTTTTTTCAGCCATCAGCCCAGACTTAACGCTGTGCCTGGAGGCCGTCATACCGGCTGGTCCTCTAGAATATTTTAACCTCCATTTTATAAGGGCTGATGGCATAATGGCAATACAACGGGCTCAGCCGAGCAATCGGCTTTGTTGTACTTTTCTCTTTTTTTTTTTTCCCTGACTAAACTTTGAAAGTGTTATGCTTGGCTCGCAGGCCGCCGTTAAAGCGATTCCCCACAGGATAGGAATGAGCCGCTTAAGAATACTGGAGGCCGAGCTTCTGGATATAATAATAATTCATGTTTTACGGGGAGCCGCGGATGAATGTAGCAGCAGAATGGGAGATATCTGTGTTCTCTAGACATCACAAGCGTGCGTTGATAAATCACAATTGATGCGCTGGGACTTGGGACACAAAGCTCAATGTCACCGCGAGAAGAAGGCGCTTGATTGTCGTTGAATAATCAGGACCGGGTGAAAGCAACGGCGGGCAACAAGTACACTTGAGCAGCCTGTTGTTTGTTTTATGTTTGTGTGCTGACATTGTGTATCCATTGTCCTCTAATGAGATGCCATTGACCAGAAATCAACACAGCGTATATATATAAAAAAAAAAGAAAAAAATAGCAATTTGCTATTTTAATGCATCTTCTTGTGTTGGGTGATTGGTGGCGACAGTGATGAGGGTGTATGTAGAAGAAAAGGTTTATTTTCAATGTGACCAATACTTGATACATTTGCCCCATGCATTATAAATATTGCCAATTATAGAGTCTCCATTCACACCCAGGGGCGGACTGAAAACTCATGGGGCCCCCGGGCAATAGGAAATCATGGGGCCCCTGTGTCCTTGACCATACTCAAACCACACCCAAAAAAGCCTATGAAAGGTACCAGGGGCATCACATGGGGCCCCCTACTGACCCCGGGCCCTCGGGCAGTGCCTGAGTGGCTAAATGGTCAGTCCACCCCTGTTCACACCTATCACTATACACAGAGCAGATGCATCTACTTACAATTTATAGTATATGTGCATTGGAGTGATGCTCGGAATGAATGGAAACGCATGGCAGCCCACATAGACCGTGCATGGCGGTGCACAAGCATCAAGTACACTGTAATACGCATTAACGTGCATAAGAGCAAGAGCGCACAGAAGTGAATATAGTCTATGAGAACCATGAGAAAGGGTCAGTCCACCCGAAACTGAAATTCCAGTTTTTCAAACAGGCTGGAGAGTTACAGTAAACCCAAGGGCGGACTGACAACTCATGGGGCTCCCGGGCAATAGGGGATCATGGGGCCCCTGTGTCCTTGCCCAAACTCAAAAAAGCCTATGAAAAAGGTACCAGGGGCATCTCATGGGGCCCCCTACTGACCCCGGGCCCTCGGGCAGTGCCCGAGTTTCCAAATGGTCAGTCCGCCCCCTGGTCTGAGCTCTGCAGTACACGACTTGCAGCCAAATTCAGGTACTTTCACTACTTCCTTTTTTATAAAATACATTAAATGTAGTTTTGTATTGTATTGATAAATATAGACCTGCAGTAATTTGTTTCTTTTACATCATCATCAAGTTCCATCAGATTTAAATAAACATGAAATATTTCACAGTATTATAGTTCAGTGGTCAGTCCGCCCCTGGTTAAACCATCAGTTTCTTTTAACTCTAAAGGACTGTATTGATAAGATTTTGGCCCTGAGATCCCAGTTCTGCATGCCTGATGTTTCTATTATGAGGGGTTCCCACAATTCCTTCACTAAGTTCCCGAATCTGTACACCTTCTGAACCCATTCTGAGGAGTTCCCACAATCCTTACTCTAGGTTCCCAAGTTTACACGCATGCTGTGTCTACTATTACCTGCAGTGAGTTCCCAGGTCTATACGTCTACTTTGCCCATTATGAGGGGTTCCCACCATCCCTGCACTTAGTTTCTGGGTCTGTGCACCTACTGTGCCCATTATGATGGGTTCTTACCATCCCTATGCTGGGTTCACTAGTCTACACACATGCAGTACCCATTGCGAGGGGTTCCCATTACCTGCTTTGAGCTCCCGGGTCTGAACATCTGCTGTGTCCTTTATAAGGGGGTCCAACCATCCCTCCATTTAGTTGCCAGGCCTGCACATCTGCTGTGCCCATTATGAGTGATTCCCACCATCCCTCCACTGTGTTTCCAGATCTGCACACCTTCTGTGCCCATTATGAGGGGTTCTTACCATCCCTACACTGGGTTGCCAGGTGCACACAAATTCTGTACCCATTATGAGAGGTTTCAATTACCTGTATTCAGTGGCGTCCCTAAGGTTGGTGTCACCCAATGCGGTAACACTTGGTGTCACTCCCTCCGATGATCTCCACGGGATGGATCTCCGCCCTCTTTCTCCCCTCCCCTCTCTCCCCCCTCCCCCCCATCTCTCTCCCCCTTCTCTCCCCCCCCCTCTCTCTCTCTCTCTCTCCCCCTTTTTTCTCTCTCCCCCTTTTCTCCCTCCCCCCCTCTCTCCCCCCCCTCTCTCTCCCCTCTTCTCTCTCTCCCCCCCTCTCTCTCTTCCCCCTTCTCTCTCTCCCCCCTCTCTCTCTCCCCTCTCTCTCCCCCCTACATGAAGCTGCAGTGCTGTCACCTAGGTCAGGGGGTTACACACTGACCTGCTGTGTACTCTGCCCACCCCTCCAGCTCTCCGTCTTCAGCACCCGTAGCAGGGATGTTGACCCTCCCCTCTGCTGAAACTCCGAGGAGGAAAGGTGTCCGAAGTGCCTGCCTCACTGTCCGTCCCCTCAATACTTACTTATTTCAGAAGCAGCGCATACAGGGATGGACTGAGCTTCTCATGAGGCCCTGTAGTGACCCCAGGCCCTCGGGCTATGCCCGAATGGTGGAGCGTGTCTGGTGTCACCCTGTGGAAAAGGTGTCACTTGGTGCGGCGCGCACCCCCCGCACCTACCTAGGGACGCCACTGCCTGTATTGAGTTCCCAGGTCTGCATATCTGCTATGCCCACTATGAAGGCGTTTCCATCATCCCTGTTGAATGTTTCTATTTTTTTTTATGTTATGTAGGATATAATAGGAGGAAGTAGAACAATAAAGGAGGGCGGGAACACCCAAAACTCAATATTACACAATGCTTTACAGGCTACATAATTTGCATTAGTCTCCTCCCCAGAAGAACTTACTCTATAATGTCCACACCAGGGATGGGCTGACAAATTATGGGGCCTCCAGGCAATAGGGGATCATGGGGCCCCTGTGTCCTTGCCCAAACTCAAAAAAGCCTATGAAAAAGGTACCAGGGGCATCTCATGGGGCCCCCTACTGACCCCGGGCCCTCGGGCAGTGCCCTAGTTTCCAAATGGTCAGTCCGCCCCTGGTTAAACCATCAGTCTCTTTTAACTCTAAAGGACTGTATTGGTAAGATTTTGGCACTGAGATCCCAGTTCTGCATGCCTGATGTTTCCATTATGAGGGGTTCCCACAATTCCTTCACTAAGTTCCCGTGCTGGAGTTTCCAAATGGTCAGTCCGCCCCTGGTCCACACATGATACTATACATTCTAATGTCATTTTGGCCAGGTGGCGAATAACTTACTAGAATGCTTTTGTAGTTGGTCTAGAAACTCTAAACCTCTGGAGGAAACTCAGAAAGATACAGGGTAAACATACAATTTCCATGCAGATGGTGTCCCTGGTGGGATTGGTGCCCAAAACTGCAGTAAGACAAGAATGCCAAGTAAGCTGTGTGCCAGGCAGCGCCAACAAAAGCATACATTTCCTGGGGCTGTATGACTAATGTGTCTAGCCAAATTTGAAAGATGCAGAAAAAAAACCCACAATAAATAACTTTATTAGTAGTGAGAAGCACTCACTCCTTGTTGACCTCCAGGCCCAGCAGGCAGAAGATGAGTTCCCATCATGCATAAACGAACCTTCTATAATTTGTTTCCTATTATTTAGTTAGCTCGTTTCACAGCTGCCAGTCTCTCCTCTCTGGAGCCTTTCCAATTAGTCAACCTCCTCACCGTCATTTATCACGCGATTATTTTGCTTTGCCCATGTTTTTTCGGGAAGGGCTATTTGATGGGGAAGAGCATCTCTTCCATGTGTTTAGTAAGCAAATTAAATGTTTAGCTCATTTTTTCATATCAAATTAAATCATTTTTGATAAGACAAATTTAATTTGGCAGAGCACAGTAAGCTAATTAGCTTGTGTTACTCTGTAACTGCCAAGGAGACTGTTTTATCACAAAATAAAGTCACCATACTTTTCTGGATTAAAAAAAGAAACTCAACTTCACGTGCCAAGCCTGCGGGCCTTTTATTGAGGCAGAACGTTTGGGTGTTCAAAGAAAAAAAGTGCATAATTATGTTGAGTGCAGCGTTGTCGATGGAAGATAAAAATAGCTAAAGCCAAGGAATGGATTCTTTTGCTTTGGATAGAGCGGGGGAGGGTTAGAACTCCTGTCAGAATTTATTGCATTTAGGAAGAGGTAATGGGCTCTTGACCACTGTTACAAAAAGTTGTGCCAACTGGGGTTAAGACCCTAGACTGGAGACTGAAGGGTCCATTTTTCCTTTAGTCAACTTTCCAAGGATCTCATGTAGACATCGACTTCACAAACATGGATGAAGTGGTGAGGGGTTAGGTCCACTCTCAGGTTTTTATTGCCATTAGAAGTAGATATGGGGGGGACTGGACCACTGTTGCAGCTGGGGCTAGAACCCTAGTCTAAAGACTGAAGGCAACATTTTAGTCAGCTCTCCAAGGATCTTGTTTAGATGTGGCTTTCATAAAATGTGTCTGGTATTTTCCCCACCATACACTGGTTTTTATTGCCATTAAGGGTAGATGTGGGGTGCTGGACAAAAAGCAAATAGTTTTGCTAGTTGGGGGTAGGAAACCTAGTCTGAAGACTGATGGGTATGCTTTTCTCTTAAGCAGCTCTCCTGTAGACATGGACTTCACAAAACATGTGTAGCATCCTCCCAGTATAGTATATGTTAGTAGGTATATTTAATTAGCTCATCTGTAATCAGTGGAGCAGGGACTTATTGTTTAGGCCTCCTCCATGTCTCACAGCTTGCTGCTTTGATTACTTTCCCCTGTATTCTAGAGGATTTTAGAATTAGAGTGAAGCACTTTCCAGCATTTTGTCTAAGATCAAAATTAGAATTATAGTGGAGAGAAGAACAGAGTGAGCAGCCTGAATATTTATGGGGCTCCAGATAATCCCTGGGGAGGTGTGCCCAGTAGATAGTGGTAGAGCCCATACATAGATTGAGGTCTGAGACAGGAGCCACAGCTGCAGAGTTCCAGGGTCCAGTCCTGTTGGAGGAGACCCCTGTGCAGTGGCTCTTCCCCTGAGGTGGAATACTAGAATGAGCCATCAGGAAGACACCAAAGTCCCATCTAGGCTTATCCAGGAGGCCTATTTGCAAACGTAAAGTCCAGAGATTAAGTTGGGTCTGGAGAAGCTCACTGGAGGGACCTGAGAGGAAGTTGGTGGAAAAGAGTCCAGCTGTCCTGTGGTGTCCCTCACTAGGAAAAGCCTGGTGGATATTGGAAGGAGTAAACCGATGATCCTGTGGCTATGTGAATAGATGACACTAATACTGAAAAGTGAGTGACTGTGTGTATCTTTGAAAGGAGTACTAGTCACCATCAGCAACTCACTAAGGAGTCTCTCAACTTGTTCAGTTCTATAGTGAGTGCACTACACTTGGGATAAAGTGGTGAGGGAAATAGTTAGACTTGGATAAAGTGGTGAGGGGTTAGAACTACTGTCAGGTTTTTATTGCCATAATCTGAAGACTGAAGGGAACTATTTAAGCAGTTCTCCAAGGATATCTTGTGGATGTGGCCTTCGCAAAACATATCTGACACCAGGGGTGGACTGACAACTCATGGGGCCTCTGTGTCCTTGCCCAAACCTAAAAAAATTATGAAAAAGGTACCAGGGGCATCTCATGGGGCCCCCTACTGACCCCGGACCCTCTGGCAGTGCCCGAGTTTCCAGATGGTCAGTCCGCCCCTGTCTGACACTTTCCCCGCCATATACCAAGTATTTGTTGCTTTCAGTCTTCTTATTAACAAATTTTAGTCTGTTTGTCCAGGTGGTGATTGTCGTTGGGAGGGAAAGTGATAGAAAATCCAAAATTTGAGTTGCCACCAGAAAGCAATAGCGGAAAGTTCTTCCAAGGAGGACACTTGGCCCAGAGACGACTGTCTAAGACAGGATTTCCATCAGTTTGGGAAGACTTCCTTTCACTTTCTGTTGTGCGTACAGGAAAAAAAAAATGAAAACAAAGTTTTGACTTTTGATATATATTTATCGAATTAAAAATATTTGAAAATCCCCCTACAAAAAATTCAGGTTGGCTGGTCATCCATTTGCATGAGATCTTGGCTTGCATTATGAAATGTTTTGGTTTTGATTGATTCAAGGATGGAGCCCTCAAAAAGGAGCTGGTGTACAAGTTGAATGGTATGCTAAAAACGTTGCGCCATTACTAAACCAATACACGAGAACAGCTTCTAGAGCAGACAGTGGAAAATATCTTGAAAATGTTGCCATGGATGGGCAGAGAGCAGCAGGTCCAAGTCACAAAGCTTTAAGCAGGGGTCTAGGTTGAGTCTCACATAGCGCTCAATATGACTCGTATGTAGGGAGTACATTAATTTCGACATACTTATCTTTAGGAGCAGAAAGACTTCTGCAATGAGTTTTGAGCATTTCATTACAAGAAGAGGATGAGTATTTCCAGCTGAAGGTCCTGGTCACTGGTTTAGCAAAGATATGGTCAATGTGGCCCCATAAAAATTACCTGAACGGTCCAACCTTATCTAAGCCGTACCTGAACTCAGCCAAGGCATCTTATGTAATTATCTGCAAACATTCCAAAGGCTTCAAACCGTTCAACTGTGCATCTGTTCCTTAAAGTGTATGCAAAGACAATTTTTTTAAAGAGCAGGAAAGGGTTAAAAATCATTTTTTCTTTGGTCTCTGAGCCCTGTTTCAGTGATGTCCCTCCAATTCTTGTACTAAATGCCCAACTTGAGGTGGATTTGTGCATCTGCCAGCTGTCACCAAAACAGGCGTCTCCATTAGAAGATTTCCCATCTGTTTTAGTGGCAACTGTCAGATTTTGACTTCCCATTATTTCTGTCTGATTGACAACTGTTCAGCCAAGCAAACAGAGGAGAACACAGGTAGCAATAAAGATTTGAAGAATAAAGATTTAAAGAATAAAATTTAGAGAGGTTCTAAAGTCTTTCCCAACTAAAATTAAAACAAAAAAAAAAAATGGCTAAACACAATTTATACATTTCTTACCAATCATATCAAAATATCTTGCTTATATGAAAAAAAAACTCTTTAAACACTTGACCTCCGGAAGGTTTGACCCCCTTCGCGACCAGGGCATTTTTTTGCACTTCAGCACCACGCTACTTTAAATGACAATTGCTCGATCGTGCAATGCTGTACCTAAATTAAATTTCTATAATTTTTTTTCACATAAATGGAGCTTTCTTTTGGTGGTAATTAATCGACATTGGGTTTTTTATTTTTTATTATATGAACCTTATGGCTAATATGGTTAGCACTTCTGCCTGGCAGTACTAGGGTTGTTGGTTCAAATCCCAACCATGGCACCACCTGCCTGGAGTTTTCATGTTCTCCCTGCGCTTGTGTGGGTTTCCTCTGGGTACTCTGGTTTCCTCCCACACTCCAAAAACATGCTGGTAGGTGAAATGGCTCCTGTCTAAATTGTCCCTAGTATGTGTATGTATGAATGTGAGTTAGGGACCTTAGATTGTACACCCCTTCAGGGTTAGGGACTGATGTGAATGTACAATATATATATATGTGAAGCGCTGCGTAAAATTGACAGCGCTATATAAGTACCTGAAATAAATAATATACACTGACACTGTACTAATGACACTGGTTGGGAAGGGGTTAACATCCAGGGGCAATCAAAAGGTTAACTGTGTGCCTAGCAGTGCTTGGTGCATTTACTGTGTGCTGTTTTTACTAAGGGATGTGCTGCTTTTTATTCCCTACTTTATAGGGAAACAAAAACCTCCGATGACAGGACAGAGCTCTCTGTTGTTTACTTTCACAGGGCTCTGCACTTTCATCCTCTTCACCGATTAGCGGGTCCCAGACATCAATCATTGGCCAAGACCCGCAGATCGGCTTGTGCTGTGACTAATCACAGCACAACTGGAGCAGCGTGCGCACGGGCGCCCCCCTACCCAGAGTAGCTGGATCACGTATTAGATATGTGATTCGGAGCAGGAGAGCCACTCTGGCACCCTACTGTTACGTGATTCGGTCGGCAAGCAGTTATTAAATACCCATACATTACAATTTACACACAAATACAGTGGGGCAAAAAAAGTATTTAGTCAGCCACCAATTGTGCAAGTTCTCCC